GGGATCACTGACCAACCTGCCAGGTCTGCGAGTGGGTCGCCCTTGAACAATTCTTCAGGTGAGCCATAGTGCAGGAGAAGGAACAGGAGAGGACGGATGATGGAGGAGGAGAAGGAGGAGGAGAAGGCGGAGGAGGAGGAGGCGGATGAGGAGGAGGAGGAGGAGGGGGGAAGAGGGGGGGGAAAGATGGGGAGGGGGACGAGGAGGACGAGGGGGAAGAAGAGATGAGTGGGAGAAGGAGGGGGACGAGGAGGGGGACGAGGAGGTGGACGAGGGAGGACGAAGGAGGAGGGGGACAAGGAGGAGGAGGAGGAGGAGGAGGAGGAGGAGGACAAGGAAGACGAGGAGGAGGAGGAGGAGGAGGAGGAGGAGGACGAGGAGGACGACGACGAAACAGGAGTCGGAGCAGGGCGGATTGTGATCTCGGCAGCTCCGAACCGGTCCCTGGACCCCTCCCTGGGTCCGAGCTGCGACCAGCCGTGGCGACGCGGGGACCCCCCAAAGGCCAGCTGCCGTTACCTCGACCCGCTGCCCTCCGCAGACCACCGACGTCGTGATTTTGCCATTCGGCGGTGGACAAATCTCCCTTTAGTAAACCTCCCCTTAGTGAAAACGGCCTGGGACCGAAAACGACGGACCTGGACCCGCAGAAATGACGGCCGCGCCTCTCCCCAGACCACCGACGTCGTGATTTTGTCATATCAGGGGGACGTGAGACCTGGGTACAGGGGACTCGGAAATCCCCGACGAGGTCGTCAAAAAAACGACGAGGTCGTCAAAAAAACGACGAGGCCGAGCCTGCATCTTGACGAGGCCTCCCGCTGCAGACATCCCACGAAACTCCTCCTCGTCAAAATCCGAGGCGCGGTCGTCAAAAAACGATGGCGAACCCGAGTCCTGGCAAACCAGGGTCTTACGCTCCCCCGATCATAGCGTCGACCCCCGAAGATTCTAACCCCTTCGAGTGTTCCTAGAAGTACCCTGTGGCCCAAGGTGCCCCCCAGCTTTTCGCTCCATTTTGGAGCCCCTGGGGCCCTCTGGGCCTCGTGAGGGGTGCTTTGGAGGCCGTTTGGGCTACCCCGAGAATCCTTGGGGCACCTTGGCCCAGGGGCACTTCTAGCAACACCCGACCCATTCTCCAGGACCAGTTTCTCATCCGGACTAATCTTTTGACGGTCCCGAGGCCCTGTAAGGGCCCTCAGGAGCGGAGAATAGTGAGAAACGTTCCGTCGTGGCTTTTTTTCATGACTCGACGGGGTCTGGGTCTGAAGGAGGTCGAAAGGGAAGGACCAGAACAGGGAGCATCGGCGATGGCGAACACGGCGGTGGCGCGCCGGCCATGGCAGAGGCTGCCTCGCGCGCGCTCGCAACAGGGAGGGGGAAGCTGGGGCCAGCGGGCCGTATGGGATACTGAGGCGCGGCCTGGGCTCGGGGCGGATGACGAGGGGGATCACTACCCTGAGACCCTCGCGTTTGCAACTGTTTGTGCCACAGGCGTGTTCGCCAGGCTTCGGGCCCCGGTTCCCTCACAGACCGATCCGGCTCCCCAAACGACGCAGAACGAGGGGGTCCTGGGGTTCCGGTGGCGATTTCTCGCGATGCTGTGGCAACGTCAGATCTGATGGGAGGGGGGGTGTCGGAGGAGGGCCAGTTGAGGCAACGGCGGCCCTCCCTAGCGTTCCTCGTCCTCCTCGAGCCTCCCGAATGCTTCTACTCGCCATGGCAGCATCCACGTCGAATTTCGGATCCGGATGGACTATCCGCGGTGGACACAAACCTCCCTTTAGTAAACCTCCCCTTAGCGAAAACGGCCCAGGACCGAAACCGACGGACCTGGACCCGCAAACATGACGGCCGCGACGCCCTCTCGCGAACCCGAAAACGGCCAACTCCTCAATCGCCGACGTGTCAGGGTAGGAAGTCTCTCCCCCCCGAGGCTCCGGGAGGGGCCCAGGTTCGGCTTCTGAGCGGCCTCGGGCCAGGCGGGAGCGCCGCCTCTGCCTCCGCTGGCCCTCCACCGATGGGGGACAGCGATCGGCTCGGACGAAACGGTGGTTACGTTTTTGGCACACACACACACACATATATATATATATATATATATATAACAAAAAACGAATCGTTTCACGCAACTGGGCTTCCCGGCGCCTCCCGACGCCAATGCATCGAGGAGAGACCCCCGGCGGGGCCGAAAGCGGGTGCATGCAAGACATGTCGCAACCCCGCCCTGATTCGATTTCTTCAATACGTGGGCCCCCAGAGGTCTCGACCCATTCCCCTGGACCAGCTTTCCATCCCGAGCCGTGTTCTTGACGGTCCCGGGGCCCTGCGAGGACCTCCAAAGGCCGGAAACGGCCCGAACCCCTCCGCCTGGATTTTTCAAGACGTTGGATGTTTGGGTGTAGCCCGCTTTTCTCGGAGGCCCAGGGGTTGACACCAACACCAATATCGGCGGTGTGCCTCCACCGAGGGAAGATGCTCCCGATCTCGGCGATGGTGGTGGCACTCGGGCTTTTCTCAGCGGCCGAAGCATTACCACCAGCATCGAAATCCAGGATCATCACGCTCGGGTGGAGGCCACCTCCTGTCTTGGCGTTGGCGCTCAACTTCAGGCCTCCAGCCCCCCCCCCGTTCGTGCAGCCCGGGCCGGGGCCACGGCAGCGTCCTGGCCGGGCAGCGGCAGCGGCGGCTCTGGCAGCTGCGCGCGGGCGGGCGCCTGCGAGGGGGGGGGTAGGACTGGTCGAACGGGTCAGCGTCGGACCGGGAAGTCGGATCGAATAGACGTGTGCGTCGAATCGGACCCCAGACACCCAGCGCCTCGAAACATCGAGGCGACGCTCTTTCCTCGTGTTCGGCTTCTCGGAGCCCCTACCAGGCCTCGGGACCGTCAAGAAACGACACAGGATGAACACCGGTCCCGGGGAAGTGGTCGAGGGGCAGGGGGCCCGTGTCTCGAACAAATGAACTCTGCCGGATGCTTGGGATCGACGTGTGCGTCTGATCGGGCCGCGCTGGCGCGGGATCGGAATCGGCATCGGATCGGCTGCGCCAGTGACGCACAACACCGCCATGGGAGCATCGGGGCGCGCCGGATGGTCGGAATGCCAGAATCGAAGCGGGTCAGTCGGAATCCGCCGACCCCCGTCGGGGTCTCCAAGCGTGTGGGATTCTTCCCGCCCCAACTTGGACGTTTGAGGGGGCAGGGTAGACGACCCCCAGACGAGCTCCCCCATGGCCTGGACGGGCTCACCCGGAGCCTCTGGGGGGCCGCCGAGCCTCCAAGGTCGCCTCCAAAGGACGGCCAAAGATACCTCTCAAGACGGCCAAGATGGCCCCAAGACAGCCCAAGATGGCTCCAATATGCCTTGAACGGGGCCCCAGAGCCATCCAATACGCTCCAGATGGCTTCAAAACGATCCCCAAAGCCCCCAAGACGGCTTCAGAAGGCCCCCAAAGGAACGGCGAGAATTCGCCGCGTGACTGGAGATCCAAACATCCAACATGCCCTAAAATGAATCCGATGGCCCGAATAGCCCAAAGAGGGCCCCAAGAGACCCCAAGAGGCCTCCTTGAGGCCTACCAGAGGCCCCCAAGAATCCCAAGGAGGCCTCAAGAGGCCTCCTCCTCCTCCTCCTCCTCCCCCTCGTCATCGTCGTCCTCCTCCTCCTCCGTCTCCTTTTCCTCCTCCTCCTCCTTCTCCTCCTCCTTCTCTTACCCCTCCTCCTCCTCCTCCTCCTCCTCCTCCTACTCCTCCCTCTCATTCCTCTCTCTCTTTCTCTCTTTCTCCCTCTTCCTCTCTTAAAGTTTTCCCCCAATGGTTTCCGCACCGGCTTGGGGAACTCATGGTCGACGAGCTTGGCCACACTTTGGCCTAACGTTTGGCCACAGAGGCGTTTCGATGAGGCAGGTGGCGGTGGTTGTTCGCCGCAAACGTCTTCGATCCGCCGCCATGTGTTTCTTGCACAGAAGGGCTTGGGACTCTGGCCCAACAAATTGCAAACGGACTCTGGCCCAACCCGCTGGCCACCCGGAAGGCCGCGTGAAAACAACATCCCATCGGCTTTTCCGTCCAAGATGGCCCCAAGACGGCCTGCAAGACGGCCCAGTCTGGCCTCAATATGCTTCCAAGCTGGTCGGACGGTCCAAGAGACTCCCAATACAGCCTAAGCGGGCTCTAAGAGACCCTCCAGTACGCCCAAATGCTGGATTCCCATATCATTTGATGATTTTCGGGTTCCCTCAGTTGCAAGCTTCCGACTGCCCAAGAGGCCCCCAAGACGGCCCACGAGACCTCCAATACAGTCCGAAAGCGCCCAAAGATGGCCTTTTAAGGGGTCAGGCGGGCCAAGAGAGCCCGAAGACGACCCAAGAGGCCCCTGAGAGGCCTCCAAGAGGGCCCCAGGAAGCCCCAGGAGGCCCTAAGAGGCTTCCTTTTCCTCTTCCTTTTCCTCTTCCTTATTCCTCCTTTTCCTCCTCCTCCTCCTCCTCCTCCTGCTCCTCTTGCCCCTTTACCCCCACAACTTCCCCTCCTCTCTCTCACTTTCACTCTCACTTTCACTCTCACTCTCTCAATCTCTCTTTCTCTTTTTTTTTTTTTGTTTCTCTCTCTCTCTGTCTCGCGCGTTCCCACAAGGGCTGCCACGACGGGTGGAGAAGCGCATAGTCCAATAGTCTGGCCAGGGTTTGGTCCGATGTTTGGTCACGTAGGCGTTTCGAGAAGGCAGATGGCGGCGGTGGTCTGCCGCAAGCGTCTTCGACAACGAACTTCTGCGGCGACTCCACTCGAATTGCTCGCTCGGATGCATGCTTGCGTGCGCTCTTCCGTGCACGCATGCTTGCGCTTGGTGCTTCCTTGTTCGTGTGTATGCTTGCTTGCGTGATCTCGTGCTTGGCTGCTCGCATGCTCGGCCACCTGATTGCTTGCTTGCACGCTTGCTCGCGGCCTTGCTTGAATGCGTGATTGCCAGATCGCTCGCTCCTCTGTTTGCTTGCGTGACTGCTTCCTTGTCCGCGTTCACGATACTACCTGGGACGTGATTGTTTGCTGTACTCTTGGGTGGACTCCACGCGAATGCGTCTTGCCAGGCGCCGCTGTAAGCCCAATTGTGCGAGTAAGACGTGCTGGCATGCCACAGCCCATGCGTTCAAAGTGCCTGGGAACAGTTCGCCGTCGGTCCCGCTGGCGTTGCGCAGCGGGGTAATATACCTGCTTTGAGGCGTGTGATTCACCGCGGTGGAGCCATGTGATTCGGAAGCGGCCGGGGGGTCTGTGCTGGATGGTCCCCGAGAAAAAAACTCATTGGTGGGGGGACGTACACATCGTTCATTTCTAATCGTGCTCATTTCTAAGTGTGCTCGATTCTAATTGTTCCTGGCTCCCTAGTGGCTAGGAAGAGGCCCAGGATAGAACAATTAGAAATGAAAGGATCTTGGCCACCCTAAATCAAAGAACTCTCGAAGGATTAGAAATGAACGATGTGTATGCAAATCCGCTCAAAATCGGTCCCCACCAAGTGTTTGAGCCGCGTCCAGCCGCGGTGACGAGGGCCCCCACCCCGTTTCTCGTCCTCCCCCTGCTGCCGACCGAAGCAAGTGCTGGGCAACCTCGGCCCCCCAGGCCAGCTCCAACACTGTGACTCGAGTGCGTACTAATTGTTGTCTCAGCTGCCCCGATCTGCAGCACGCAACCCGGAGCGTCTTGGCACGGAGCTCACCACGGAGACCAAAAAGGTAAGTTGGGCGCGATGATTTCGCCAAGACGTGGGCCATCACGTTGAGACAACATGCAGCGTGTTTACGCACGTGTTGAACACGGTACGTATGGGGAAACCAAAGAGTACCGATACCGCTACTCCCGGGACGTCTCCCGGGGTGCGTTCTGACCCGGATTTCGAAGCGAATCCAGCAGTGGCGACGAGGGCCTCCCAGGAGGCCAACAAAGCGGAAACCGAGGGAAGGGTAGAGGTATGGGTATGGGTACCTCTCCCTTCTCTGAACGTATTGTGTTCAGAAAGAGCGTATCAGGGCAGCTCAGCAAATTATTGGTGGATTAAAAAGTTACGGACAACATGCGGATTGAATGCGCGCTCTGCCTGCTTCGTTGCCAGTGCGGCGCCCTGGACCCTCGTGCGGCTCCTCCGGCAGAGCCCGCAGGCGGCGCGTGGGATGCGGCCTGTTGAGACGGGCACCTTCGTGCGCCTCTGGCCCGCGTCGGACGCTGCCCGACCTCTCGTCCGACCCGACTGGCACGTGCCAGCGGAATGGCCGCGGGCCAGGAGGAGGAGGAGGGGGGGGGTGGGTGAAGAGGAGGAGGAGGAGGAGGAGGAGGAGGAGGAGGAGGAGGAGGGAGGAGGAGGAGGAGGAGGAGGAGGAGGAGGATTTTTTTCCAAGATTTCCCTGGGATCAGTGATCTCTGGTGGTCGCTGGTGGGTCGCGGGACACCTTTGCGCCCCCACCCACTCTACCGCGCACAGGCCCTTTTGCCCGTGCTGCGGCAGCAATGCTGACAGCCTCGGCGGCGCTGGCGTGACTGCCGCGCCGCCGAGGGCCCTCTTTGCGACTGGGCAGCGACCCTGCTCCTGTCGCTCCCAGACCTTTTAGGGCACCTGCCCTGCTCCTGCAGGTGCCCTATCTTTGCGACTGGGCGGCGACCCTGCTCCTGTCGCCCCCAGCCCTTTTGGGGCCTGCCCTGCTCCTGCAGGCCCCAGGTCTTCTGACAGTCGCCTTGAGTCCAGGCTGGACTCGGCGGCCCCGTCTGCCACACGGGGCACGGGTGGCCCCCCCTTCGGCCCTGCGGGCTGGGGGCCCCCCCGCGAGGCGGCACGGTGCCACCTCCTTCTCTTCCCCTTCTGCGTCTGGTGCGCGTCGGGTAGTACTGCTGTCTTTTCGCTCCTGCTCGCGGCTGAGGTACTTTGTGACCTCCTTTCCGCGGCATCCTCGCCAAAGTGGCTTGTGTCTTCCGTGGCTTTCCGTCATGTCGTGCAGGTCCTGGGCGCCTCCCTTCGGCCCGCAGGCTGAGGGCCAGGGCCTACCGTTCTGCTTGGTTTCGAAACGCTTTCAGCTTGTGCTCCATGCCTTTCGAGGCTCGTCCTTCACATGATTCAATTAGCTTGCCACCGATTCTGCATTTACCTTCTCCGTCGAAACTCGCTGCGCAGTTCCAGCAGAACCATCTCTTTGCCCGAACTGCGTGTCGCATATCATGACTTCCGTGTGTGCGATGACCTCCAGCTTGGACTTGATGCTTGTGGTTTCTCGTCCCTGCCGAGTGGCCTGCGCACTTTTTCTTTAGCCAGGTCTTCAGCACATCTTTTTTCGTGTAGTCCACACACGACTCTGCGCAGGCTTTACAATGCCAAAGACTAGCCCTATGGGAGAGCACATGCAGCGAGTTCTTGATCAGCTCCTCGATGTCTTCTTTTTCCTTCAGCTGGTCTTTCTCGTATTGCTTCTGTTTTCTTTTAAGCTCCTTGTCTTCCATGGTCATCGAGGGGTTCTTGCTGATCGCTTGGAGGGTGGATCTGTACATACGTCTTCTTATCAACATACCAACGGCATTGACCCATTCATAGCAATCCATTTGTCCTCGTGGTATAGCGTGTTCTTCAGCGGCCTCTCCAGCAAGAACGTCGGCCTGTCTGTTGCCCCACCATGCTTGTAGTGGGTACCCTTGTAGTTCTGCTTCTTCTCGGCTGAGATGACTTTGGATGTGTCTTACTAGTACTTCGTCTTCATCTGCCCCTCGTGCTTCAAGTGCCTTGCCCATCTTGTGCCAGAGGTCTGCGTTGCCACCGAGGAATGCCTTCATATGGTACATCTTCTTCTGCCAGCCTTTATTCAGAACATCAGAGTCTGTCCAGAATGTCATCGGCCCTTTTGTCTGGATCAGCGCGTCGATCATGGCATACATTTCTGCTCGATTATTGGATTGTCTCGGGCCAGGCAAGGGTCCTTTGTTACTTCCACGGCTGGATAATTCACTGGCGTGTACTTCAATCCATGCCTATCCACATCTTCGGTACCTTGGATCGCTCGCATACTCTCCACCACTGCCGTCTCCACATATACATAAAGGTTGCTGCATTGTTCCCACCAGTCGTGGTTGTGTGCCGTTCTCGAAGCTGATCTGGTCTATGGTGTCGCATGCAGTCGGTGTTGTCCATGATTTGGAGGGGATTCCACGTATCCAGAATGCCGGCATAGACTCAGCTCCTTCGTGGGCTCTTTGAAGTAGGTGTTGGGAGTCTTCGTAGTCTATATGATCTTCTTTTTCCCCGCAATCTTCCCAAAGTCGGTGGAACTCTGCATCTGGCTTGCCACAACTACAGACTCCTTCTCCACCGAATATTTCTGCTTTGCGTGCTCCTGTCCACGTGCCCGCGCAAACTGATACCAGTAGAGCTCCGAATTCCTGATGACGACCTTTCTTTTGTAGGGTGTTCAGCTGCTTCTTGACGTCTGTCATGTCCGCGCCGTCTTCTAAGCCTTTCCCATGTCTGTGCTGCGCGGCTTTTCTCCAGATCTTCTTTTCCACGTCCTTCATCATGTGGTCTATTACTTCAGTGGGGTCTGCTTCATAGCCTTGCCCCATCGCCCATGTATCGCCTTCGCTATCAGTCCACGTGGTTGGTGAATGTGCGTCCCATCCAATCTCCCATAATTGTAAGATAAGACTTCCAATAATACCTCTTCTGGATTTCCAACGTGCACCTATTGCCACCTTCTCCAATCTGCTATAGATGTTGGGCCAAGCTCGTTCCACTGCTGCGTGTATTTCTGGATGTCTCGCCCACATATCGAACCAAGCCTTGATCTGCGCCTTCGGGATGGTGATGCCTGGATCTTTACCTTCTATCGCGAGTAAGGTACTCAAACATCTTCCCGTCCATGGTCTCCTCAGTGCTTTCGCGTATTGTCTTCTCGTCATCTTGATTTCGTGTGGTGGACATCCGAATGCCCTGGCTCCATAAAGTAGAGATGCCATTGCTCCTTGTTCCAATACCCTCATGATCGGCTTGGTGCCCAGCTTCCTCAGCTTCTTCCCGACGAGGTGGAATCTCTTCCGTGCTTTACGTACTCGTGCTTCGTGTGTTGCTCTGGTTCTTGGCATTTTTGCTGCTCGTTCAAGTCCAAGGTCTCGCCCTTCTCGAACTGCCTTCACTTTAATGCCCTTTTTATGTAGCTTCTTGACACTGTTCTTCGTGATCCTGGCTGAGGGTCCGAATACCACTGATTTGTCCGCCATGTTCAGGTTCTGCTCCTTGAGGTTGTGGTGCAGTGAACTGATATGTTCCACGATATCGTCCTCCACTGCTCTCACACTGCCGGTAGCACGCAGGCTGATATCATCGAACCATATTCTCGGTGTACTTCTCGGCGCTTCGTGGAGGTGGCTGATGACCGTAACGTATACCAGAGCTCGTGCTACATTGTTACTATGTCGTGATCCTGCCAATAATGATCTTCCTGCCAGCATCCTTTCACTGTAGCATGCTTCTTGTCGTAGCAGTCGTGATGTTAGATGCTGTAGCATTGTCATGGCCAGAATACGTAGAGGGAATTTGTGATGTCGGGCCGCTCTGACTGCATAGTTAAACTCTACGCTGTCGTAGAAGCGCTCGATGTCGATCAGGCCTCCCGCTGTAGCTGCCCCAACTGCGTCTGCTGTTTCATCTCCAATCGACCTGACCATCGCTTCTCTCAAACAGCTTTGTCCAGGTACTGCTGCGTCCCATGGTTGCTGAACTTCTCGGACCCAATCTCGGACAACTTCTCGGTTCAGCAATTCCCAGCATCTGCCCATCCAGCTGAGTAGCGCCAGCGCCCTATCGCCACCTGTACTCAAAGACGAAGGCCCAGGTTGGCTTTCCCCTTTGGGTTCTAACATTACTATAGCTTCTAGAATCTGCCACGGCCAGGCCAAACTCTTCTCGCAGCTGTTGTACATGTCCACGAACTCCTGACGTCCCTGTGTAGGCAATCTTCTCAGGTCCGTCATGCACATTTGGTCCACTCCTTTCCCTCGGTCTGGTGCTCCTCGAATAGCTTGGTCCATCTCCTCTAGCGTCCACGTGCGTGGTTCTTCTGCTTGCGCTGCCTGTCTAAGGTCTTTGAGGAGTTGTACATCTGCATCATCATGTCCTTCTCTCCAGAGCTCCTTGAACGTTTTGGCCTTCGCATCAATCCTGCTTGTCGGTGAGTATTTCTTCATGTTGTCCTGTATCACTTCCTGCTCGTACCTTTTCGCGTCCTTGGTGATGCGGTGAAAAGTACCTGGCTTCTCCTTGGCCGTGTCTTGGAGCCACTTGGTGTATGCTCGTCTTCCTTTCGCCAGGTCCTCCTTCAGAGCTTTCCCAGCTTGTTCTTCTGCTTGTGCTTGCATTCCTTCCAGGATGGGGATGTCCTGCTTCTCGATGTTCAGGAGGCGGTCTTTCCATATCTTCCTGTGCAGCTTGGCCGACGCCGATGTATTTCTGCCCAGTGGTGGTAGCCCTTCGATCGCCAGATATCTGCACGTCTTGGCTGCATTCTTGATCATCTCGCTGCCCTTGTGCTTCTTTGAGAGCTGCACGATCGTGTTCAAGGTATTTGCTGTTCTATTCCACCAATCCGCCTTGTAGTCCGCAAACCTTGGGTATCGTTGTCCATATTCCTTGACTTCCTTAATCTTCAGTTCTCGCTTTCCACCTCTCCCACAGAACATCTTTCGATCTTTCAGAGGAACTTTGTAGGCGGTGCAGTAGAAGTTCTCCATGTTCTGCATCAGCTTCGCGTACTGTGTGCCTAGGAGGAGGAGGAGGAGGAGGAGGAGGGGGAGGGGGAGGGGGAGGGGGGGAGGAGGAGGAAGAGCAAAAGGCTTCGAAATGCACCATGTGCAGTACCCACCTGGCCGCATGCACCCGGTGGCGCGAGGAACGGGGGCGGCACGAGGCGGGTGGCCTTCTGAGGAGGCGGGATTCTTGTCGTGTGCCACCCAGACCCCTCCGGGAAGCCTTCCTGGACGCCTCCAGACCCTTCCAAGAAGCCTTCTTCGAAGCCTTCAGGCCCTCGCAAGAAGCCTTCTGAGGATGGGGGTGGCCTTCTGCAGGTCGAGGAGGGGGGGGGGCCTTCTGACTGAGGGGTCACCCAGGCCCTTCCAAGAAGCCTTCGCAGAAGCCTCCCGGACCTTCCAATAAACCCTCCTGCCTGCGTGCCACTTGCCACACCCCTCGCCCCCACCCCTTCCTGTGCGCCGCCAGTGCAGGCTGCCTGCGGGCCACCGCATGTTCAGACGTGCGCGGGGTGCGCAGAAAAGTTCTGCCCGAGACTGGGCGGCTCTGCGACAGTCTCGTCTTCGTTAAGCACTACAGGCTCACCGCTGGCTCTCGGTACGGTTCGGTCGGGCATGCCCCCCTGCAGGCGGATTCTGGAGAAAAAGTGAAGTGCCCCCAAAAAATCCAAAGTAGTGAAATATACCAGACAAATCGTCCCAGATATTATGTTTTGACTATTTTTGAGTTGTCCCCCTGTAGAGGGACAGGCCCGACTTAACACTACAGGCTCACCGCTGGCTCTCGGTACGAGGAGGCAGCGAGTGACCGCTGTGCGAAGCCATGCCACCGCCGCCCCTCGCCCAACTGGCTGAGACGTCGGCTGCCGCGGCCACTGGCAAGGACGGGGGGGCTGCGTGGCGATGCGCCACGTCAGAGGCCTCCTCGATGAGGTCCGAGTAGAGAGGGTCGGAGGATCGCGCCGCATCGCCAATGCATCGCCGATGCATCGCCGATGCATCGGCGACGTCGGCGGTGCATCGGCAACGCCGGTGCGGAGAAAATCGGGCTCCACAGCCGCATCTCCAATGCATCGGCGATGCGGCGCTGTCCTCCGACCCCATCTACTCCGGCCCCGTATGGGAGGCCTGGACACGTGGGATGGGGCGAAGAGGGCGGCCTTCTTGGAAGGCGGGGTGCTTCTCAGAGGGAATCGTGGGGCTTCCAGGAGAGCGTCTTCGAAGGCGGGGTTGCTTCTGGGACGTCCCCCCTGCCTTCTGAACGAGGGCCGCCTCTCTCGCCCTTCCCCCCCTTCTGCGCGTCGCCGAGCGACGGCCACTGGTGAGGGAGGGAGGGAAGAGTCGGCGACTCCGAAGGGTGTGGTTTGCAAAGGGTGTGGTTTTCGGGTCGGGCAAAAGGGGGGGATAGCAAAGGGGGGGTTTGAGAATCAGCTCACGGAGCTGATTTTCCCGGCGCCTCCCGGCGCCGGGAGGCGGCCATGTATCGAGGAATGGGCCCGGCGGCGGGGCCGAAACCAGCTGCATGCAGCAGATTTCGTAACCCCCCCTTTCCCAAACCCCCCCTTTCGCCCGACCCGAGCATCCTGGGGGGGGAACGCCCTGGGGGGCGGGCGAGGACCTCGGCAGAGCTCTCCGCCGCGCTCCGAGGAGGCCCGACGAGGGCAGCGTGGTGCCCCCCAAGCCCCAACGACCCAGACCGCAAACCACACCCCAGCGTAACTCTAGGGCTCCCAACTTCGCGCTTCGCGCTGCGCGAAGCGCGAATAACTTCGCGCTCTCGCGCCGCCCTCCCAGAAGGAGAATAGGAGGACGAGGAGGAGGGGGAGAAGGAACGAGGACCGCGAAGCGCGAAGCGCGAATAACTTCGCGCCCTCGAGGGAGCCCCAGCGTAACTACACCCTCTGCAGCCGTCGAAGGAGGGGCGGGAGCGGACTAGATCTTGCAACCAGACACGTATCCGTCGTCCCGTCTCGGCTGCTGAAGCGGTGCCCCGCACAGCAGAGCAGCAGGGCACGCCCCAGGGGCCGACTGGGCGCTGGGCTGGCGTGCTGGGAGCTGGGCGACAGAGTTCAGGTGCTGCGCGCCGCCGAGCAGCCTGACCTCCAGCGGCGCAAGCCTGAAAGTCGAAGTGCGTGGCGCGGCGCCCAGACGACCGCAAGTCGTTCCAGCAACACGCCTCGGTCACCTCGGCGGCTGGCCGGGCTTCAGGAGGGGGCGCAGCAGCAGCCAGCCGCAGACCGTGATGGCCACGCGGTGGCTGTTGGCCTCCAGCCCGGTGGCCAGCAGCACCAGCTCCCCGAGCACGGCGCAGCTGATGCCTCGGCGGTCCAGAGACGAGGCCCCGAGGGGCCCCGAGAGCTTGGCGCGCAATTTTTCCGCAATGGGCGTTTTCGCTCGGCTTCGGGCCCCGGGACCTTCGTAGGTCGATCCGCCTCGAGGCATGCGGCAGAACGATCGGGTCTTGGGCCCCGGTCGTGATCCTTGACGACGTTGAATGTTTTCGCGCCGTCGGATCTGAGGGCCCGAGGGGTGGGGCCCTGAGGCTGGGAACGGGGTCCCAAGCCGAACCTTCGCTGCTGGGCCGCCACTCCTCCAAGGCCCCATGCTGTGGAGCAGGGCGAACCGAGACAGCGGCAGCTCCAAACTGGTCCCCGGACCCCTCCCTCCTCCTCCTCCTCCTCCTCGTCCTCCTCCTCCTCCTCCTCCTCCTCCTCCTCCTCCTCCCCTCCTCCTCCCCGTCCTCCTCCTCCTCCTCCTCCTCCTCCTCCTCCTCCTCCTCCTCCTCCTCCTCGGGGTCTAAGCGCACCTATTTCCCGAGCTGCGCCCAACCGTTCCGACAAGGGCCCTCCCCGAAGGCCACCTGCCCTCGTCTCGGCTCGCCCTCCCCTGCGCCTTTGAACCACCGAGCGCCCAGCCGGGCGAGGGACTCCAGCGCGCCCTGCCAGCCGACGTCGCCAACCGCCTGCGCTCCCTGTGGCGCCACGGGCAGGAGGAGGAGGAGGAGGAGGAGGAGGAGGAGGAGGAGGAGGAGGAGGAGGAGGAGGAGGGAGGAGGGAGGAGGGAGGAGGGAGGAGGGAGAGGAGGAGGAGGAGGAGGAGGAGGAGGAGGAGGAGGAGGAGAGGAGGATGAGGAGGAGGAGGAGGAGGAGGAGGAGGAGGAGGAGGAGGATTGAGGAGGAGGAGGAGGAGGAGGTCAGCGCGCGCCACCGAACCTCGGAGCAGGGCGCGCGGAGGCAACGCCAGGCTGGCGCAGTCACCGCCGCCCGCCCGTCGTCCCCGATCGCGGCCGGGCGCGCCTGCCACTGCCAAGAGGCCTCCAGCGAGGAGCGCATCGCCTCTGCGGGCAGGCTGGCAAGGGGGGGCCCTGGTAGGATCGCGTCGCGCAGAAGCCAGGACGGAAAACTCGTGGACCATGGGGAGGGGTCCTTGCCAGGCCCCAGGGCCGTCCACAGGAACGCCTCCGGATGAAAGGCTGATTCCCGGAAGGGGTCCAAACCTCTGGGGAGCGACGTCGTGAATCAGTCACGACGTCGGATGCCGCGGGATAGCAGAAAAGTGGGCTACCGAGTCAGATCACGTAACGGATTTTGTCTGGCGCCAGGTGCGCCCAGCATATCGAGGAAAGCGCCTGGCGGCGGGGTCGAAACCAGCCACTTGCAGCAGATTTTGCCCCCCCCCCCACCCCACCCCCCCTCAACCCCCCTTCCCCCCTTTCCCAATCCCCCCGAGTGGTCCTCGTCGCCTAGCTTTCGGGTCATAACTCAAGTCCGGCGGTCGATCAGGACGGTCTGGGCCCCCCAGGACGCTCTCGGCGAGGCGCATCTGCCGAAGAGCATCCCGAGGCCAGGGAACCGCCGAACCCAGACAACCTCCGATTTGTTTTTGCAATCCGTGGCCCCAGAGCTTCCGACCCCTTCCCTGGGGGTGGAACGTTCTTCGTCCTGGATACCTTTTTGATGGTCCTGGGGAACGATGTGGCGAGACGAAGCGAGGCGCCGGTCGATCGTCCCGGAGGACGGCCGTACAAGAGCCTGGCGGGGGCGCCGTAGCGCCGATAGTTCAGTACATATTGAATGTGTGATGATTGATTCGCCCTGGCGCGTACCAGAGATCATACACAAGACGTGCCAGCTCGAGACAAGCATCCGACCTTGGTAATGAGCTCAGGAGGCCGAAATGAGGAGCCCAGGAGGCCGAACTCTGGAAAAAAACGCAAGGATTCAAATAATCAGACCGTCGGACATGAAGGGCAACGTTAGGGTGGGGCCAGCTCAGGGGGGGAAACTTCGAGCTGGGGTCGGCGGTGCATCGCTGGTAAATCGGCGAGTGGTCCCCGATAGCGAATCCTCACGCTCCTAGGCGCAGTGGAGCGGGCCCCTATCGGCGATCGATGATCGATCGGGGGTCTATGCGTCCCCCTCTGAGCCTATCCCCTCGTAGCGTTGCCCCCTGGTTGTGGGGGGTCATGACGCGGCTCCCTGGCGGCCGTACGGGACGATCTGGGCACCCCCAGAATGCCCCTCGGCGAGGTGCAAGGCTGGAATATCGTTCAGAATCGATGAAAGAGTCCGATAAGCTAGAACCTCGAATCCCCTGACTTTGTTTCTGATCCACGCATGCCACCGCAGTGGCCCCCCCCTCCCAGCCCAGCGCCTCCAAGATGGTTCTCTGAAGTCGCTGGATAAGGAATGAAGGATCTTCTTTTCTTGTCGCGGCGAGCCTCGGCCACGAATAGGTTCCCCGACGCAGATCTCCGGAGCAGCCCGAACTTCCTGAGCCTGAAGCGGCCCTCCCCCCGAACGTTGCAACAATGATTCATGATAGCTATTACGGTGGGGGCATCGGATAAGGAAACTTCGGTAAGGAAACCACGGTCTGGAAGCCAGTGGACCTGCAATCGTGGATTGGCCATGGCTATCACCGCCGCCCTCATCAGATAAGGAAGCCTCCAGGGTCTGGCGTCTCCTGGGCGCATTCCTTAACAAACGCCTCCACCGTGCTCGACTCTCTCCCCCGAAGTTGGCCGGGGAGGGGGGTGCCCCGCCCCATTTGCGTATCCTGTGATACACACAAACAACCGGTATGCCATTCCCGATGGTTTGGGTTAGCATATAGTCGGACTCGAACGGAGAAGACACGCGAGAGGACACAAGACCCTTCCGAGGGCCACGTTTCCACAGAAATGCAAGAGGCATGGGTCGCAAGACACAGGACACGAGGGTACCCGTGATCTGGCAGGGCCGACCTGCTTATCTGGGCCGACGGTATCGGAGCGTTCCCGATGATCCGAAAGCTGCGTTCCCGCTGCAGCGGTGGCCTCATTTTCAGGATCGGCGCTTCGCTCCAACAGCATTCTGCATTGACTACCCTCGCTTCCAAGAGATACCAAGCGATGCCAAACTACGGCCTGTACCGGCCAGGCCGCTTGACGAGGAGGCGCGTGGTATGACGTGGTCTTGCCTGGAAGCGAAAGCGGGGTAGGTAATTCACGTTCTGCAGAATGCCGCTCTCGCTCCCGCTGTGCAGAATGCCGCTCTCGCCCAGGCGCGGGCCACTCGTCTGGATCCGAGCCGTTCCTCATCGCTGTCGCCCCCCCTCCTTTCCCCCTCTCCGCCTTGCCCTGGCCCTCCTGCTCCTCTCGCCCCTTCCACTCCAATTCGTCGTCGTCCTGCTCCTCTTCCTCCTCCTCCTCCTCCTCCTCCTCCTCCGTCCCCTCCTCCGTTCCTCCCCCCGTAGCCATTTTGGCTCAAGAGCTTTGCACGTGAGGGCTTCCGCGCCCTCGTGCCTGCATGGTATAGCCCTAATACCGGGCCCGTCAGAGCACTTGGTGCTCGGTACCCCCTTTCCGCTGTGAGCTCCTGGCGGAGCGTGCATGCCATGCCGTGGACGTGGACTTCTGAGCGTCCCCCTCCCTGGCGTGCGCAAGGTGATCAGCAGCGCCGTGATGCTGGTCGCCGTGGCCACAAGCGTCGCCGTGATGGTGATGCCTCATCCTACGCTGTCTGCAGCAAGTGCGGGCACTGGGAGTACCTCTACCATGGTCACGCTGCGTGCAGCCGGTGCGGCGGATCGTATTTCATGCACAATAAGGCTACGGGTGAGTCGAGTGCGGCGGTCGGCTCACAGGTTCCCCCCGATCTGTCAGGACAAGCGAGTGCTGCAGTCGCTCAATTTCCTGGCTTACGAGATGTGCTCGCTAACCACCTGCCGCCTCCACCACCGCCGAACGTCCCGTCCGATGCGCAACTGGACGCAGCGGTGGCTGGAGAGCGGACTGCCTTGGCGAAGGGCGTGGAGGAGGCTGCCAAGGCTGAGCGCTTGGCCTGGCAGAGTCGCTCTGAGCGTCAAGAGGCTTTGCTCAAGGCCCGTGAGAAGGTCAAGCAGGCTGAGGCTGCCTTTGCCGAAGCTTCCTCGCACCTTGAGGAAGCCCAGTCTGCCCATACCGTCGCCAAGGAAAAGAAGGACAGGTTCGATGAGGCCGCGTTCAAAAAGCAAAAGATGGAGGCTGCGGCGGCCGCTCAAGCTGCTGCGCGGCCCCCCTCCGCTGGTGCAGAGGGCCCACCTGGTGGAGAACCTGGAGGCGCTCATGGCGTTTCTGGAGCGGGCCCTGCGCCTGAAGAAGCCCGCGAAGTACTTCGCAAACTTCATACCCTTGGAGATGAAGACCTCCGGAAGCTTGCTGACAGCACCAAGGTCCCTTTCAGCGAGTGGTGCAACTTGCGCACCGCCCAGCTTGCCGCTCACAACGTCCTCAGTTCGGTCACTCCTGGCTCCTCGGCGTCTGCGTCGTCTGCTCCTGGAGTGGCTGGCGCTGATGAGGGTGCAGATGCTGCTATGGGCGGTGCGGGTGGCGAGGATGGTGGTGAACATAAGGCTGTTCCTGTCGATGCTGATGACGATCTTCTTGGTGAAACCGATCGGCAGGAGCTTTCTGAGCTTCGCAAGCGGTCTGCGGAGGAATGTAAGCCTGAGGACCTCGAGAGGTTGGAGACCCTCCTGGTCAAAAAATTCCATGCGCAAGCGCATAAGAAGCTCAAGGTGGCTACTTATGCTAACGATATGTGGGTCAACGCTTTTGCCCACTTGGCAGCCCCCCAAGTTGTGCAAGGCGCGTCGTTGGTTTGACGAGTCCCTGGGGCAGCGATGGCAGAGGGTCGACGTGAGCTCGACGATCGATGTCAAGTTCTGCAACGTTTCCAGCTGGTCTGAACTGGCCAAGTCTGAACTTGCCAGAGCTGTCGAGGACGTTGACGTTTACCTCTTTGCCGAGCACCATCAGGGACCCGACAAGCTACAGGCCGCCAAGAGAGACTGCTCATCTATGGGATGGCGCCCGCACTTCCAAGCAGCCCTTCCCTCGCCTGGCGGAGGATGGCATGGTGGTGTCGGCGCTGTCGTGCAGAAGGCGGTCTACTGTAAGAAATTCCTACGTAGTCTCCCCGCTGGGGTCGAGAACGTGGGCCAGGGGCAGAGTTGGTTTTTCCTGGAAATGAAGACGCAGCATTGTACGCTCGCTCTGGGAGTTATCTATCTGGTCTCTGGGATTGGAGCTTCCGGTATAAATCTCGACCGTCTCCATGAAGTGGTTGAGTTCCTGGGGATGCTTGAGTGCCCGTGGATCCTCTTGGGAGATTTCAACATGGAGCCCCTCGAGTTGCACCAGTGTGGTTTCTGTGAGGTTGTCTCCGGCGTCACGGTGGACCCCCGCAATACTGACTTCACCTGTGACAAAGGCGCTGGCCGCCTGATCGATTATGCTGTCGTCTCGCGGGACATCCGCCCATACCTTACGATTGATGCGGATTGGAGCTCCGCTTTTAAGACACACGCCTGCTTGCATGTGCAGATGTCGCTCGATGTTCTCCGCGACACCGTGATGAAACGAGATCGACCAGTCCCAATCGGGGCCCACCCTGGGCCTGATCAGTGTTGGAGTGATTTTGTCCACCGTGCCGGTGACCAAGTTGTGGAGATACCTCGCGAAGTCCGTGGAGCTTTTCTCGAGTTTCACTGGCCGCGACACTCGCAAGGACTCTCGGAAGCCTATCAAAAGTGGTCTACTGCTGCGGAAATGCTGTTTTGCTCCCGCTCCCTCCACACCTGGCCGTCGCCAGGGGGGCGCAGGGGCAGAGCAGTAGTTGTGCAGGAGCGGACCCTTCCCAAACGAGGAGTGATGAAACAAGGTTTTTCCCACCCCTGCCTGGCTTTTTGGACGCTGATATCGCCCCGCCTGTACGATTTTGCTGTCGCCTTGAAGAGAGGAGGCACCACCCAGGTCACCGCTCTCAGGACTCTCCTCCGAGCGCGCGGTGATGAGGTGGGTCTACACCTTGAA